AAATAAATAATTTAAAAAAAATTAAAAAATAAAAAATAAAAATAAATAAAAATACAAATATAAATATAAATATAAAATAGGCTGGGTGCGGTGGTTCATGCTTGTCATCCCAGCACTTTGGGAGGCCAAGGAGGGTGGATCACCTGAGGTCAGGAGTTCGAGACCAGCCTGGCCAACATAGTGAAATCCCGTCTCTACTAAGCATGCAAAAATTAGCCAGGCGTGGTGGCGGGTGCCTGTAATCCCAGCTACTAGGGTGGCTAAAACAGGAGAATTGCTTGAACCAGGGATGTGGAGGTTGCAGTGAGCCGAGATCACGCCACTGAACTCCAGCCTGGGAAACAGAGCGAGACTCGGTATCAAAAAATAATAATAAAATAATAAAATAAAATGTGTTGACTTAGGGTTGTGGGAATCATTGTGTCACCAAGTGGACTCATTGAGCAAGGCAGGTTATTGAGTGCTAAGGCAAGCGGCTTAGAGGCTCCGCACAGGCGTAGGAAAGGCTGAAGACTAAAGAGGGTTTAGAGGCAGAGACTAGGAATCTCTCGACACTCTGCTACTTCTGCCTGTAAACGCCCAACTTCCGCTGCTGGCGGCCATCTTCAGGTAGTGGTGTTGAGCGTCGAGCTCCCGGAACCGCGCCGGTGAGGGGCCGCCCGTGGCGGCGCAGTCTAGGTAGACGGTATGAGTTTGGCTGGAGGCCGGGCCCCCCGGAAGACCGCTGGGAACCGGCTTTCTGGGCTTCTGGAGGCAGAGGAAGAAGATGAGTTCTACCAGACGACTTATGGGGGTTTCACAGAGGCAAGATCCGGGCCTGGGAAAAGGGAGGGGAGGAAGCGAAGAGGAGCCCTGAAGCAAGCAACCCCGAATAAAGAGGAGGGCGGGGAGTAGAGAGGAGCTCTGGGCACTGACATTCCAGATGGCTGGGTGAATCGGAGTGTGTGTAGGAGGAGGAGGGGAGCGGATGGTATGTGGAGGCCTAGAAGGGGTCAAAGGGGCCTGGGAGGGAGAAGTTCTCAGGAGGCACTCTGAGAACGGCGGAAACCTGCCGTGTACTTCTTTGGTTGCATCTCCCACTGTGCTGCTGACGTCCAGCATACGCCAGGCACACACGCAGTAGTCAGCTGCTCGGTGTATCCTCGTTGGCCTACTGTTGGGTTATTCATCGGAGACATGGAAAGGAACTGCTCCAAAAGTAGAGGAGCTTAGCCCACTCCTTTTTCAGCTTCAAGTCTCAGTGTACATGTTTTCCCCGAAAGATAACCCTTCCTTGACTATCCTAACAAGTGTCCCCATTTATTACCTTCACAGAACATATTTCAGCCTGTAATTAGATTTGGTTTGCTTACTTGCTTATTCTTTTCTATTGCGTTTTAAACTCTATAAAGTTAGAGATGGTCTGTTTTGTTCAACATTATGCATGAGGTGTCCGGACTGGGCTACCACTTGCTAAATTTTTATTAGTTGAATCTACCTGTTTATTAAATGCGTTGGGAACCCAGAGCATAACATTGGTGATAGGTTGTGTTAGGCTCTGTTTTCTAGGGAAACAGAATATTAAAAACACTGTTCTGTCCTTACATACTCCATACCCCAGTGGGGTAACTGGCTGGGTTAACAGTCAGTTAAAATACTGTGTGATATAGGCCTGGCGCGGTGGCTCACGCCTGTAATCCCAGCACTTTGGGAGGCCGAGGCGGGCGGATCACCTGAGGTCAGGAGTTCTCGACCAGCCTGACCAACATGGTGAAACCCCATCTCTACTAAAAATACAAAAATTAGCTGGGCATGGTGGCATGCACCTGTAATCCCAGCTACTTGGGAAACTGAGGCTGGAGAATTGCTTGAACCCAGGAGGCAGAGGTTGCAGTGACCGGGGATCACGCCATTGCACTCCAGCCTGGGTGACAAGAGTGAAACTCCGTCTCAAAAAAAAATAATAATAATAAATAATAAATAAAGTTTAAAAAAAAAGTCTGGGTGCGGTGGCTCACACTTGTAATCCCAGCACTTTGGGAGGCTGAGGCAGGTGGATCACGAGGTCAAGAGATCTAGACCATCCTGGTCAACATGGTGAAACCCCATCTCATTTAAAAAAAAAATACTGGGCCGGTCGCGGTGTCTCATACTTGTAATCCCAGCACTTTGGGAGGCCGAGGCAGGTGGATCACGAGGTCAAGAGATCGAGACCATCCTGGCCAACATGGTGAAACCCCGTCTCTACTAAAAATACAAAAATTAGCTGGACGTGGTGGCATGCGCCTGTAGTCTCAGTGACTTGGGAGGCTAAGGCAGGAGAATTGCTTGAACCCCAGAGGCGGAGGTTGCAGTGAGCTGAGATCGTGCCACTGCACTCCAGCCTGGCACCTGGGGACAGAGTGAGACTGTGTCTCAAAAAAAAAAATATACTGTGTGATAAGGACTAAAACAAGGGGTAAGATAGAGTGCAGAGGTAATACATGTGAGCCAAATTTATTGATCAGGATAGGCATCCCTGGAGAGATGATGTTTAAGCTGAGGACAGTTTGAAAAGTAGGAGAAGGAGAAAGGTTAGTCCACAGAGCAGGTTGGGTAGAGTAGGTAAAGTTGAGATCCTTGTCTGGGACCTGCAAGTCTACTCTCTCATTCTCCAGAGCATGAAGGAGACTAAAGATTGATAAGCCTGGAGGGAGTAGGCATGGGCCACATCATTGACGGCCTTGTGAGCCATGTTAAGGAGTTTTGTCCAGAGGACTGAGATGAGGCATCAGAGTTCCATGATGAAATTTGTTCTGTAGAAAGATTACTTATGGCTGGGCGAGGTGGCTCACGCCTGTAATCCTAGCACTTTGGGAGGCTGAGGTGGGCAGATAACCTGACGTTGGGAGTTAGAGACCAGCCTAACCAACATGGATAAACCCCATCTCTACTAAAAATACAAAATTAGCCAGGTGTGGTGATACATGCATGTAATCCCAGCTACTCAGGAGGTTGAGACAGAATCGCTTGAACCTGGGAGGCTGAAGTTGTGAGCAGAGATTGCACCACTGTACTCCAACCTGGGCAACAAGAGCAAAACTTCATCTAAAAAACAAATAAATAAATAAATAAAGATTACTTACTTTGTAATGAGAATGGCTAGAAGGGGGCGTGGCAGTATAGAAACAGAAGTATTCAAGATAAGTTAAGGAACAGAACCCACAGGATTTAGGGGCCCGTTGTGATGGCTCATGCCTGTAATCCCAGCATTTTGGGAGGCCAAGATGGGCGGATGACAATGTCAAGAGTTCGAGACCAGCCTGACCAACATGGTGAAACTCTGTTTTTACTAAAAATACAAAAAAATAAGCCGGACGTCGTGGCACGCGCCTATAATCCCAGCTACTCAGGAAGCTGAGGCAGGAGAATCATTCGAAACTGGGAGGCGGAGGTTCCAGTGAGCCAAGATCACGCCACTGCACTCCAGCCCAGGTGACAGAGCGAGACTGTGTCTCAAAAAAAAAAAAAAAAGAACCCACAGAACTTGACTGATGGAGCCATTACTGACACAGCCCTAACCAACTAGTTTAAAATAGAACTTTCTCATCCCTCCTCTAAGGCCATTTTCCTATTTCTGTCATTTTACGAGTCGTTATTTAATATGTACCCTTCATGCTTCCAAAAAGGGTTTAAGGAGGCTTACATATAAACAAAAAGTAGGAACAGTAAAAATAGAGACAGATCAGAAGTCATTGTACCAGGAACCTCTGCTAAAATGGTGATAACAATTGATACTAAATTTAGCTTTAAATTGAGCTTCCTGGTAGCCAAACCTTGTATTTCTTTTTTTATTAAGAAAGAAGCATGTAAGTTCTTCAAGAGAGACAAACTTATTCAGCCTTAAATCCTAGGAAGCATTTATCATTATATCCTTATATAAGATATATAAAAAGTAACGGTTTTCATAGATGATGTACAAACATTCTCTTAACTAGTGATGTCTATTAATGACTCAATAAAAGCCAAAGGAATGGTAGTAAGTCCTTAATTTAGTGGAAGTATTTTGATTGGGCACTAAGCTAGTGTGTGGTTGATCTACTACCCTCTGGTGTTACGGCTTAATACCCGGTTAGAGCTAAGGGGATTAATGTGTTCCCAGGCTATCTTTTATAAACGTCACTTGGGAGGAAATGATGGTCATCGTGCAAAATTGAACTCTGACTGGCTTGGAGTGTCAACGTCTGTGTTCTTTGCTTGCTTTGGCATCATGTGTACCAAGAGTAGCCCATTAGTCTGCATCACTGATTGAAGAGCCACATGTGTGAGATGTCACTCAGCCCAGTTGACTCCCTCTCCCTCAAGTGGCTTTTTTCCCTTTCCTTTCTCATAATGGCTGCCATTCTAGCCCTAACCAGTATCACCTCAGGTCTAGGCTGTACTTCACGTTCTCTACTCCAGGCCATCTAACTACCTCCAGAGCTTTCTGAAGTACCCCTTGTGCATACTGTTACCCCTTCCCAAATCTTCAGTGGCTCTCCATTGTCCATAGTAGCAGTACTCAACTGTTTTTCTGTCCCAGCACACCTAAAGAACGTATTTCAGTAACTTTAGTTTACCTCAACAATGATTATCAATGGTAGGACAAATAAGGAGATGGAGGGGATTGAGAATCACTGGACTTCAGGTTAAATTTGTGTTTATTAGCCTGACATTTAAGTTTCTCCATAAATACAACCTTCTTTTCAAATCATATAGTCCTATAGGGCAATTGGTGTTGGAAGAAGGCGGTGCTGGAACCAAATGCAGTTGGCTAACAAGTTCCTCGACAGAAAAGTTTTATTTGGGTCTAAATCCTTATTCCATAAACATGCTGTACACATTACCATTTCTGCTATTTCATCTGCCCATGATTCCTTCTTCCCCCTTGGCTGTCTAAATACTAACAGTGTTTTAAACCACAGTTTAAGTCCTATTCATTCCTTTTTTTTTTTTTTTTTTTTAGATCACCCTGTTGCCCAGACTGGAGTGCAGTGGCATCATCTCAACCCACTGCAATCTCTGCCTCCTGGGTTCACGTGATTCTTCTGCCTCAGTCTCCCAAGTAGCTGGGACTACAAGTGTGTGCCACCGCGCCTGGCTAATTTTTGTATTTTAAGTAGAGATGGGTTTTCCCCATGTTGGCCAGGCTGGTCAAACTCCTGACCTCAGGTCATCCACCTGCCATGGCCTCCCAAAGTGTGGAATTACAGGCATGAGCCACTGTGCCTGGCCCTCTTCATGTGTTAAGAGTCTAAAGCACAGTTCAGCAAACTACAGCCTTCAGACCAATGCTGATCCACTGTTTTATCTGGTCCTTTACAGAAAAAGTTTCCTGACCCCAGTCTAAAGAATGAAAGCCTAAACTTAGACCTTCTTATACTAACAGTCCATAGCAAGTGTGCCACTTCCTTTTAAGATTATGTCCCTGAGGCTGGGTATGGTGGCTTATGCCTGTAATCCCAACACTTTGAGAGGCACAATGGACAGATCACCTGAGGTCTGAAGTTCAAGACCAGCCTGACCAACGTGGTGAAACCCCATCTCTACTAAAAATACAAAATTAGCTGTGGTGCACGTGCCTGTAATTCCACATACTTGGGAGGCTGAGGCAGGAGAATCACCTGAACTTGGGAGATGGAAGTTGCAATGAGCTGAGGTCTCAGCATTGTACCCTAGCCTGTGCAACAAGAGTGAAACTCCATCTTAAAAAAAAAAGATTATATTCCTGCCAGGTGTGATGGCTCATGCCTGTAATCTGAGCACTTTTGGAGGCTGAAGTGAGAGGATCACTTGTGGCCGGGAATTTGAAACCAACCTGGTCAGCATAGCCAGATCCCACCTCTATTTTTAACATAATAAAAAAAAATAAGATTATGGGCCTGATGCAGTGGCTCAGGCCTGTAATCCTAGCACTTTGAGAGGCTGAAGCAGGCAGATAACTTGAACTCAGGAGTTCAAGAATAGCTTGGGCAACATGCAAGACCCCTTTTTTTTTTTTCTTTTGAGACACAGTCTCACTCTGTCACCCAGACTGGAATGCAGTGTGGCACGATCTTGGCTCACTGCAACCTCTACCTCCCAGGTTCAAGTGATCCTCGTGCCTCACCCTCCCAAGTAGCTGGGATTACAGGCATGCACCACCACACCTGGCTAATTTTTGTGCTTTTAGTAGAGACAGGGTTTCACCATGTTAGGCTGGTCTTGAGCTCCTGGTCTCAAGTGATCTGCCTGCCTTGGCCTCCCAAAGTGTTGGGATTACAGGCATGAGCAACCACGCCCAGCAGAGACCCCTGTCTCAAAAAAAAAATTAAAGAAAAATTAAGATTATTTTCTCCCCTTCACTATACTGTAAGCCTCTGAAGGTAGAGACCAAACCATATCCTTTTGTTCTCCAGTACTTAACACAGTGCCATGTAGGTAAAGGGCTATCAATTAATGTTGGAAGGAGGTAGTGCTGGAGCCAAAGGCCGTCATTTAGAAAGTTTTCTTGTCTGAGGAAAATGAAGGGCTGGATTAGGAAAGAGAGTACCACAACCCGTGATCAAGAAAGTTGAGAGACTCTTCCTCCTAAAGGGGTGTTAAGGCTTCCTTTTCCAGCCAACCCTCACCTCCCTGTGTACTTAGGAATCCGGAGATGATGAGTATCAAGGGGACCAGTCAGACACAGAGGACGAAGTGGACTCTGACTTTGACATTGATGAAGGGGATGAACCATCCAGTGATGGAGAAGCAGAAGAGCCAAGAAGGAAGCGCCGAGTAGTCACTAAGGCCTATAAGGTATAGGGGGAGTCCTAGTTTTCTTGGGTTTTCTCAATTCCTGTTCTCTCTTTCATCGGGCGTTGGTACTCCCTACACCTCTTCCATTTCTGGCAATGCTAGTTTTCTCTCATTGAGATCCTCGTATTTCTCCTTATCTCTTCTGTTCCCTGGTATCTAATTCCAATCTGTCCTCAGGAGCCTCTCAAGAGTTTAAGGCCTCGAAAGGTCAACACCCCGGCCAGTAGCTCTCAGAAGGCCCGAGAAGAGAAGGCTCTACTGCCACTAGAACTACAGGATGACGGATCTGACAGTGAGTAGGGATGTTTGGGTCAATTGGCAGAATTGGAATATGATGATAAAGTATCATATCAGTGTTAAATATTCTGATGTTGCTGGGCGCAGTGGCTCACGTCTGTAATCCCAGCACTTTGGGAGGCTGAGGCAGGTGGATCACCTGAGATCAGGAGTTCAAGACCAGTCTGGCCAATATGATGAAACCTCATCTTTACTAAAAAATACAAAAATTAGCCAGGCGTGGTTGCGGGTGGCGGGCCCCTGTAATCCCAGCTGCTTAGGAGGCTGAGGCAGGAGAATCACTTGAATGTGGGAGGCAGAGGTTACAGTGAGCCAAGACCATGCCATTGCACTCCAGCCTCAGCAATAAGAGCGAAACTCCATCTCAAATATAATAATAAAAAGAAAAAAAATTACTGATGTTGATAACTTACTATGGATAGGAAAATCTTCATTCTTAGGAAATACACACGGAAATATTTAGGTAGGGATAAAGGCCATGATGTATACAACTTTAGTTATCTAACTTAGATCATTCAGAAAAAAACTACACATACAAAATGCAAAAGGGACAAAATGTTATTAACAGGTGATGGGGTGGAAGATACATGAGTATTCCTTGTACTATTCTTACAACTTTGTAGGTTTGAAATTATTTCCAAACACAAAATTTAAAAATAAATAAAGTAGTGGACATGAATTCAAAGATTTCTTCTTATCTCACTCTCTTCCAGGTCGGAAGTCTATGCGTCAGTCTACAGCTGAGCACACACGACAAACGTTCCTTCGGGTACAGGAGAGGCAGGGCCAGTCAAGACGGCGAAAGGGGCCCCACTGTGAGCGGCCGCTAACCCAGGAGGAGCTGCTCAGAGAAGCCAAGATCACAGAAGAGCTTAATTTACGTTCACTGGGTCAGTCTGTGGTTTCAGAAAAAGTGGGTACAGGGGCTGAGGGGTATGAGAAAAACCATGAGACCTGGAGGACCAAAGGCCTGGAGAAATGGAAATTTGGGATAAAGGAATCAGAAGTAAGAAATAGGGGAGAGTAGGTGATTAAGACTGTAGGTAAATTACTTAACCTATTCATATTTTGCTTTTCTTGTTTCTAAAATGGGGCGTACACCGAATGACTCAGGAGGCTGAAGCAGGATTGCTTGAGGCCAGGAGTTCACAACCAGCCTGGACAACACAGTGAGGCCCCCATCTCTTAAAAAAAGAAAAAAAGGGGGGCCGGGTACGGTGGCTCACACCTGTAATCCCAGCACTTTGAGAGGCTGAGGTGGGCAGATCACCTGAGGTTAGCAGTTCGAGACCAGCCTGGTCAACATGGTGAAACACCATCCCTATTAAACATACAAAAAATTTAGCCGGGTATGGTAGTGTGCACCTCTAGTCCTGGTTACTCTGGGGGCTGAAACAGAAGAATCACTTGAACCCAGGAGGTGGAGGTAGCAGTGAGCCGAGATCACACCACTGCACTCCAGCCTGGGTGACAGAGTGGGACTCGAAAAAAAAATAAAGTGACGTGGAAAAGAGGGTTGTTAGAGATGTGGTGATATACTGGGCATGGAGTGTTGAAGGGGCTACCCATGTGCACTTCGAAGTCACCAGGGTGACCTAAGGTGATAGGAATTGTGGTAGAGGTGAAGATTAGAAACCACTGCCAAAGTCTTCAGTGAGTGAGGGAGTGACCATGACTAGGAAGGAGAGAAGTTAATCTAGACTCTTAGCACAGGTCTCAAAAAAGAAGGGAGATTCTTCTGGTAGGCAGAAGAGTAGTGATCCGAAAGCTCCAGGGTGAGGCCCAGTAGGTCATAGGTATATCCTGTGGGGTAGTAAGAGAATGAGCAGCCGCCACCAGAGGTCTGCAGAGAGGAGTGGTGGCCTTAGTGAATGACCAGGTTTCTGGTAAGGCAAGTCATATGAAGGAACGCTGAGTGAGGAGCTGAGGATATAGATGAGTTGGCTGATTATAGAGCTTGAGCTCCAGAGGGTGTAGGCAAGTGTTCGAAAATAGAGGGTTTGGAAGATTGGCGCAAGGGAGAGAAAGCAGTATTATCAGTATTATCAAACATGTCAAGCAAGAGAGGTTCAGTGATTGGAAGGATTTCCAGAGTACTCTTTTTTTTTTTCTTTGAGATGGAGTTTTGCTCTGTCACCCAGGCTGGAGTGCAATGGCATGATCTTGGCTCGTTGCAATCTCTGCCTCCCAGGTTCAAGTCATTCTCCTGCCTCAGTCCCCCAAGTAGCTAGGATTACAGGCTCAAGCCACCATACCCAGCTAATTTTTTTTTTTTTTTTTTT